TCAGCAAAAATGCCTGTTGGAAATAAAACACTTCTAGGCTTGATATTTTGAAGTATACAAGTTATTTCTTATGCCATAATGAAAGTAACGTGTACAATTCCTGGTAGATAATTAAACTTTCAATTCATTTTATGAAACAATCTAAATTATTATTTTAATTTTTTATGAATAATAGCAGTATAATTCCCTGTAAATGATTTAATGAGTGTTATTTCTGGAGCTTGTTTTAGCACTTGTCTTTAAAAACACTGATTATCTCATGTAGTGGGTTATCTGCCGGCCCTAAATGCAATCAGTCTCAAAGATAATAACAAGAGTTTTTTAATACCAGGAATAATATATCTGAAACTTGGTTATTATTAATTGTAGATGACAGGAATAAACGGTGCCTCTGACCCCCAAACTATTTACAGACTCCTAAGGCAACAACAAATGTCGCAGCTTTTATCCAGTAGCTGTCAGACTAACCCAATATGCACAAAACTTAGAAAAACTGCAACCTTTTAATATGCTGGGTTGTTTGATAGGACTTCATTTTGAGTTCAGAAATATTTTAAAACTGTTGCTTACTGGCAGCTGTGACTTACAGAAAATTAAACAAATGTTGTTTCACTCTATTATTTTTTCTTAAATGAGCAGAAGAGGTGTTCATATTTGGTTTTGTTCTATATTAAAAGGTTGATCAAAAACTTAAACTTGGTTATAAGTGGCTGCCTATAATTACCAAAATGTAATCATGCTATCATTATTTTTTCCCATATGTATTATGCAACATTTAGAATATTTAAAATTGTCTGACAAGCATTTGTTTTATTTTTTCAGTCAGAACCCCCAAACACAAATGCTGCCATCTTGAAAAATAAACTGTTTAGACTTTTATCTTAAGGTTCTTTGTTCAGGCTGCCAGTCTGATGAACTTAATCAGAATACACATATTGATATTATGCATATTAGCACTAATCGAAATTGGTGTTTTTAGAAAACAGTGTTTATATCCATACACTTCATGATGAGGACAGGAAATGAGACACGGTGGCAAAGAAAACCACATTTGCTTTGATGAAAATGTAAACTAAAATTGTCAAATTGTGATATAAACTTAACGGCGAAACTGTGCTGATGTGCAAATCACGTGGGCTAGTATTCTGTACAAATACAGACAATCAGAAATACTTGACCGTATGCAATCAATAAAGCAATAAAGCATTTAAATAAACATAGCTGATATTGCCTGGTACTCAAAATGCCAGTTGTTTAGAAATTCAGAAGTCATCAGTTTGTTATTTTAAGAAATATCTTTTACATTGGTTTTATTTTTTAATGTTACTGGTAGTAATAAACGAGGTATTTCAAGGAAATATTTGCAAAATAAAGTGGTACAGGTAGGACAGTGGAGTTTTTTTTTTTTTCTCTTAAACAATCTGTAATCTACATATTGTTTAATAGTTGTTATACTGAATGATTTGGTTACACAAATAAGCAACTCTTTGCTACCAGTCTAACAATGAGCTGTAGAGATTAGATTTACCTCCTTAACTATCCTGCTCAAAGAAAACCTGACGTCATGTTCCAGTTTGTTTTTTCTTTTTTTATTGGTCATCCTCTTAATAATAATAGTAATAATACTTTTATTTAAAGCCCCTCTAAGGAAATGTACAACAGACAATCAACAGTACACAATAATTTATTTATGAGGATGGAATACTATATCCTATGGATGGACAATAATGCATTACCAATATAAAATGCAATATGAATCTATGAATTAGAATATTATTTGTCTTATGTGTTTAATTTTTTATTCAAAATATATCTTTTTTGATGAGCTTTATAAACTTTAAAAAAAACAAAATGGCTGGTACTGAAATTTTTTATGGTCATTCTCCGTAGTCTTTTTGAGACGTTTATTCTGATTATATCAATGTCAAAATAGTATTTTAATCGACTGAAATTAAGAGATGTATTGCGATTTAAGTTTAGGCCATGTTCTTTAGCCCCAATATGTCCATTTGTCTTTTCCATTTTAAGAAAAATGTAGGACTAATGGACTGCTGAGTCTGTTATGTTAATGTTCCTCAACAAAAAGATGTAAAATCATTGAATGTTCTGAAATTCTGCTTAACTAAAACAAAAGGTTTAGTATGTTGCAGTTTTTTTTTTATGATTTTATTTTTTCTGAGTCACAATGCACTGCTTCAGCAAATGTTTAATCTACTTTAAAACATTTTGCACATTGAAAACGTGGTAAACTCGGTTTGATAAGCGTTATATTGTTTCAACCTTTGTGTATTTTTTTTTTTTTTTTTTGTGCCATCATCTCCAGCATAGTTGCTCATGTTCCCACCTATCAGACTGCGAGGTTTTGATTCAGATAATTGTGATGATGCGCTGCAGCTTTGAAGCCTGCGTTCCCGGTTGGGGGCTGATGAACTCCAACACATGATTTACATTCTGCTTTCATCTCAGCGAGAAGCAGAATTTTTGGAGCAGCTAACATTTTACCATTGGTGGTTTCTGGCTGGACAGGAGGGAGGGATTGGGGGAGGAGAGAGAAGCCAGGGGATAAAATGTACAACATGAGTACTTAATTGATTTCATTATCATATGAACAGAAGCAAAACAAAGAATTCAATCAGACTTTAAATGACATTTCTACATTTAGAGCACAGCGGGTGTTTAGCTGCAGCTTGATTTATGCTGCCAGCGTGGAATAATTGCTCAGCCATTACAGGTATTGAGGCTGCATGCTTTCATAAGGAAACATGTCTCTCTATGTAACCCCTTCAAAAATGGCCCTTGTCATTTGTTTGGAACGATGTACTTGTCTCTAACTCTCAAAGATGTTTGACAGATACATCTTGACCTTGACAGATTTGTATAAACTGACAGTCTGATTAAGAAAGCAGGATACAAAAAACAAAGTGGCCCATTTTAAGCCTGCAAAATCTCATAAAATTGTTGTCATGATCAAATGAAATACTGCGCCTCTGTTGCCCCCATGTGGTCACTTTAACAACTTGCATACAGGGCCTTTTCATCCTTCTTGAACATTTTTCCCATTTTGTTACCTTACAACTGCAAACCTAAGTGTATTTTAATGGGATTTTATGTCATAGACCAACATGTATACAAGTAGTGTATAATAGTGGAGTGAAATGGATGTTACGTGGTTTTCAAATTTCTTTTCCAAGCAAAAACTAGAACGAGTGAGGTGCATCTGTATTTGCCATTAAGCTTTATTCTGATGTCCCTAAAAAACTGCCTTTAAAATCAGGCATTTGGTTAGAGTCTACCTGTGTCGAATAACAGATCTAAGTTATTGGTTATTGCTTTGAAGACCAAGGAATACAGCAGACTGGTCATGGATAGTGCTAAGAGCAAGGCTGGGTCATAAACTGTATAAATTATCTCACTCAGTTAACAAACTTAGTGAGAGATTCTGATATCACATCTCTCTAAGATTTGCTCAGTCAGGCATCTAAAAGTGGAAAGGAGAAGCTTACTAGAGAGGCAGTCAATGGGCCTTTGGAAACTCTACAGGAACTACATACATCTATTTATTAGGTGGGAACATGATGTATCCATAGGAAAAATAAGTCTTTTACCCAACAAATCTGACCATTATGGAAATCTCGAAAGGCATAGCTTGGTGTTGGAAAAAAAAAAACACAAGAAGTTAAACTTAAATTTGCAAGCATATGGCTTTTTACCCTGCATGCAAATAGTTATAGCTGAAAATTAACGCCACATCACTCACAGCAAAGTATCCTCACTGAGAAAAGTGGAGATTGCAGCATCATGCTGTGAAGATGCATGAAGTGCATGTGAAGCTATTCAGAGCTGATGTTACAAGCAAAAAGGAAAAAAAGAAAAAAAAAGAAACATATAGAGCTACAGTGAAATGGTTCAAGTTAAAGCATCAACAGTTAATCAAAACATATTTGGTATCCCATATTGGAAATAATAGTTCCAGTACAGCTAAACGCCTTCACAGAAAAAGAAATAAAGGTTAATCTAACAGATAGCCAATAAGAAAGTCACTCTGTTTGCATCACACATCCTCAGAGATAGATACTGCATGCATACATAGTGCATATGATGTAATAGTGCAGCGCTCCATGTTCAAGGAGATGGTAGTTCAAATGTAACATAATTAAACTACGCCAAATGGAAAGCTTATCAATCCATGCTGCATAGTATCTAAATAGAGAGTCCATGTGTGCCACAAGGAACTCAGTGCACAACTGAGTATTTCTGCAGGTCATTTTTCCAATCTATAGTCAGATTCTAAAACAAAACATATGCAACTATCATGATTTTTTTCATGTTGCTGCTAAATATTAGTGATTTCAGTGGCGGATATTAACTTTAAAATAAATATCAGACATTGCCCGTTCCACCAATATAACTCACCAATATAAATTCTGTTTTTGTGACAAAAGTGAGAATTATGCCTGCAGAGCTGGCAGGTCAAATGCAACCAACTGATGCTGAAGTTAAAATGTGGGTGTTGTTGGTCTTCTTAATATCTGAGACACATAGCCAAACTGGTATTTGCAATAACTACATAGTGTCTGTATGTTTGTATTTGAAAAACAAACAAAAATAAAACAGTCCCAATTGAGTTGTAAAATATTAGTATATCTGATAAAATTACAATATAATGGATCTCTATTATATTCAACTTATTTTTCCTTCAGAAACTAGTATGTAGAACTTCACCCCGTTGGTTGAAGGCTATACCTTTGCATCGTACTGCGGAACAAAGACCTAAAATGCTGTCGAAATCTGTCGAGATTATATTTTCGATTAAAGATTTCATCCCGCATGACATTAATGTACAACTTTGTGTTCTTTCTCATATAAATACCCCAATAAGCTATTGTGAAAAAGTTCAAAGGCTGTAAATACTTTTTTAAAAACATTGTTTATTAGATAGTTTGTACAAAGATGTCTATTTCAGTTTTCAACATTTTAAGCTCTTTTTTTTTTCTCTCTAGATGAGATGAAACGTCCAAAGAAAATCGAGTGGATGGACAGTAATCCGCCCACCAAAAGTAAGGAGGGAGAGGAAGAAAATGAAGGAGTGAGAAGGGTAAGGGTGGGGTTTAAGGCCAAGCGAGAGCGCCGGCAGGGCAGCAGCAGCGCTACCATGTGTCAGGTGTGCAACATAAGGCTAAACTCAAGCGCCCAGGCACAGATCCATTATAAAGGCAAGACGCATCAGAGGAGGCTTCGCCGGCTGGCAAAAACTGTCAATGCAGGTAGGAACACGCTGTTTTATACCTGTTTTTCTTTATTTATGCAAGCAGAGATCCACTTCATGCTTCTCTTATTTATTATATCTAAGCTCTTTTGTATAGTTAAAGGTATGTTTTTACTTTTTTCTAAGAGATTTTTCAATTTGAAATTCACAATGTTTTAGTAAAGAAAAAATGAAACAATCTTTTATTTACGAAGCATAAATATGACTTAATCTAAAAACGTTATTTAAAGCCAGTTGTTTTTTTACCAACCACATTTCATTGTATATCCAGTTTCAGGTAGTTTTATATTTTTTATATACAACCAATGATCTAATGTATTTTTCAATACATTATGCATTGTATATTTGTTGTGTTGAAATACATTGCTCGACCAGTGAAACTAAAGAATCAACCAGAAGGAAGTCACTTGTTACTTTGGTTTAGAAGGGGGTGGTATATTTTATTTTTTGTATCGTGTTTATGTTGCTTATCTGAGGAATACTCAGATATTACGATCCCCTGCAATACTTTTGGTACTGCTATTCATTTACATGTTACTTTTACACATATCACCTCCCAAAGTTGCAAACCATGTAGCTACCAGAGGGAAACTTTATTGTTTAAATTGCTGATTGCTTATTTGTGATTGCACTATTACTATTGGGTGTCTAGGATTAGTTTTCTGTTCAGATGTGACATAGACATAACTTCCTAAAGGGTCCACTTTTGTCTTGTCTGTGTACACTGAAAAAAATGATCAAAAAATAAGTAAAAAAATGTCTTAAATTAAGTGTATTTATCCTTAATTTGAGTTAGTATATGAGATGGTTTGCCTATGGAATTAATAAGAGAAGATAATTAAATAATATGCACTTGAAAAAAGACAATGCAATTGTGTTTTCTTATTTTAAGGTTAAATTGTCTTGTCTTCCATTGGCAAAAAAGTCTCTTTCACCTCCTCAATCCAAGAAAAAATCACCTATTTTTTCCAGTGTACGATGAGCCTTTATGGTCCTTTACAGGTGCTGGTCATAAAATTAGAATATCATGAAAAAGTAGATTGATTTCAGTAATTCCATTTAAAAAGTGAAACTTGTATATTATATTCATACATTACATACAAACTCATATATTTCAGATGTTTATTTTGTTTAATTTTGATGATTACAAATGACAACAAATGAAAATCTCAAATTCATCATATCAGAAAATTAGAATATTGTGAAAAGGTTCAAAATTGATGGCCCCTGGTGCCACACTCTAATCAGCTAATTAACTCAAACCACCTGCAAAAGCCTTTAAATGGTCTTTCAGTCTAGTTCTATAGGCTACACAATCATGGGGAAGACTGCTGACTTGACAGTTGTCCAAAAGACGACCATCGACACCTTGCACAAGGAGGGCAAGACACAAAAGGTCATCGCTAAAGAGGCTGGCTGTTCACAGAGCTCAGTGTCCAAGCACATTAATAGAGAGGCGAAGGGAAGGAAAAGATGTGGTCGAAAAAAGTGTACAAGCAAGAGAGATAACCGCACCCTGGAGAGGATTGTGAAACAAAACCCATTCAAAAATGTGGGGGAGATTCACAAAGAGTGGACTGCAGCTGGAGTGAGTGCTTCAAGAACCACCACACACAGACGTATGAAAGACATGGGTTTCTGCTGTCGCATTCCTTGTGTCAAGCCACTCTTGAACCACAGACAGCGTCAGAAGCGTCTTGCCTGGGCTAAAGAGAAACAGGACTGGACTGCTGGTGAGTGGTCCAAAGTCATGTTCTCTGATGAAAGTAAATTTTGCATTTCCTTTGGAAATCAAGGTCCCAGAGTCTGGAGGAAAAGAAGAGAGGCACTTCATCCACGTTGCTTGAAGTCCAGTGTAAAGTTTCCACAGTCAGTGATGGTTTGGGGTGCCATGTCATCTGCTGGTGTTGGTCCATTGTGTTTTCTGAGGTGCAGGGTCAACGCAGCCACATACCAGGAAGTTTTAGAGCACTTCATGCTTCCTGCAGCTGACCAACTTTTTGGAGATGCAGATTTCATTTTCCAACAGGACTTGGCACCTGCACACAGTGCCAAAGCTACCAGTACCTGGTTGAAGGACCATGGTATCCCTGTTCTTAATTGGCCAGCAAACTCTCCTGACCTTAACCCCATAGAAAATCTATGGGGTATTGTGAAGAAGAAGATGCAATACACCAGACCCAACAATTCAGAAGAGCTAAAAGTCACTATTAGAGCAACCTGGGCTATCATAACACCTGAGCAGTGCCACAGACTGATCGACTCCATGCCACGCCGCATTGCTGCAGTAATACAGGCCAAAGGAGGCCCAACTAAATACTGAGTGCTGTACATGCTCATACTTTTCATGTTCATACTTTTCAGTTGGCCAACATTTCTATAAATCCTTTGTTTTTATTGGTCTTCAGTAATATTCTAATTTTCTGATATGATGAATTTGAGATTTTCATTTGTTGTCATTTGTAATCATCAAAATTAAACAAAATAAACATCTGAAATATATGAGTTTGTATGTAATGTATGAATATAATATACAAGTTTCACTTTTTAAATGGAATTACTGAAATCAATCTACTTTTTCATGATATTCTAATTTTATGACCAGCACCTGTATGTTTTTCTGGCCTCCTTGTTGAATTGTTGATAATTTCTTGGATTAGTTTGTAACTGGCCTCTTTTGGACGGGGTTCACAAATGCAGTGTTGATTTTGGCTCCTACTTTGATTTGCTGACATCTCAGAGTCTTAAAATGTCTTTTAAAGTTTTTTACAGTCTTATAAATGTCAAGAGCTTTGTTTTTCTACTATTTCTATTTTTTAAGATGATGTGTTATTTTTTTTTTCAACTTTCACCCATCCAATTATAATAGATTTATAATTTGAAAACATCTTTTTTTTGTTGTTGATGTTTTAATTAAGACACAATAAAAAAAAAAAGAACAACCTTAATGCTGTTCATACTAAGCATTAAGGTTGCATAAGATTTTTTATTTCTGTTTTCTTTATTTAAGTAGGTGTGGTGATCGACTGAGTAGGAAATATGCACTATAACAATCAATTAACATTTTAAAGTGACATGTAAGACCTTGAAAGAGCTTAGAGAAGGTCCAGCTCTGAATTCTGGATAACATTTACCTGTCACTGCAGAAAATATAAAGGTGTAAATCATTAATTATAGATTTCTTAAAGTTCAGCGAGGGATACAGAATGACCTATATGAAACAGAGTGATCATTTATTTTATTAGGCATTATTAAGCAGTGTTGTTGCACAGGTCAGGTAAAACTTTCCTCAGTGAAACCACGTCTCAAAAGTTGCAAGATTTCTAATAAAGCTCTTGAAATGATAAACAGACACAAGCAACATTTTCACATTTGTCAACCTGACTGAAAATCTCATATCTTTGTATTTGTCCGGCAGCACTCGAGTTGCTTCCAAAAGACCACAGTTTAATCATCAACAGCACTATTTTGAACCAAAACGTTATGAACTTTAACAAAACGCTATCTACTGCCAGGGTGTTGTGTCATCAGCTGCTTTTCTGTTGGGATCTGATTTATTGTATTCAATTCAATGTGCATACACGGCTTGTTTACAGAAAAATGAGATGCTTTGTCTCCAACATTAGAAGTTTTTCACTGAGTGTTTGACATGAAATTTGTTTTCTCAGTATATGCAATATAATGACTATAGATGCAGATAATTGAAAAATGCTGTTGTATTTTATAGCTTTATGCATAATACCTGAGACATTTTGAGATGGTTTCGCTCTTCTTTTAAAGAAAATCTGTCATATATCGACTGTGGATAAATAACTCATTGTCTGTTTTTTTTACTCAGATCAAATTTAACGACAACCAAAAAAATTCAAAAAGTCTGGTTCTTGGGTATTAGAGGGTCCTTTAAGAGTTTTCCAGTTAGCTCCCTGTTACACCTTTTAAAATTTTACTGCACCCGTAACAATTTGAGCTAATTGCTGTGGTGACATGCTAACTTACTAAAGTTGTGTTTGCATACTGTATCTTTGTCATGAGTGCTGCATGGATTATACTGGTAGCACAAGTGGCAGCTTAGCTATGCTGGAAAACATCCATGTACACAAGAGAATAATTATAATGACTATCTGCCTTGTCCTCATGCCACAGACACACTTAGATGGCAGTACCCCATATGATTTACAGAAAGCTTTTGTAAACAGAAAATAGGGTACACTGTGCCCCACATTACAGGGCTACCAGGGGTGAAGAGTTACACTCCTAAGCATCAACCAGGGATCTATTCTAATGTTGCAGGATGGGAGTATGATATCATTTTTAAGATAAATTGATGTTATCAGCTTAGGGTGATCAGTAAAAACATTCTTGAAGATAAATCTTGCTGCATACATATAGAATCTCTCCTGCATCCTCTCCTTTCATAAAATAAGTTGATGACGATAAGGGTGTCCTCTCCACAAGGGAAAGTCTACAGATTGTAAGGAAACATGAAGATTTAATATGTGCTGGTGGGATTGCAATAGGAGGTTCAAGTAAGCAGGAAAGAAAAACCTATGGGTCACAGATAAGGAGACTGGCTTTATAGCCAAATAAAAGTCAAAGCTTATAAGTAACTCTGCTTTCTTATAGTACTTTAATGTTGAAGTCTTCCTAAGTGGCTCAGAGGAACAAACTACTTGGACACAACTTTTGAAGAAATGTGTGGACATGCAATCTTTCTCTTTGACATTCATACACAAAAGTACGGCTGAATCAGTGGTGCAGTAGTCCTCACTTTATGTGAGTAAAGGTTATGTCTGCTGATGTCCACAAATATAATCAGCTTTTATTGAATGTCACTGAGATTAAAACTATGGCTGCAGTTGGTTGCATTTGCAATATAATCGCAATTTTACAAAATGCAGTTTTCAAATTGGAGAGGCACTCTTTTTTGGTCGCATTACATTTAATGACAATAAGACTTCTGACTTGTTCACTCCAGCTATTTAGGTGGCAGAGATACCT